ATATTGATAAGAATATATACTGATTAGAATATAAAAAGCCTCTATGGAAAAACATATATATCTCACTATCGAAAAAGACTATATTCTTAAATTAAGAATATATTCTTGAATAAAGAATATATTCTTAATTTCAGAAGAGAATATCATCTAAAATCTTTAAGAAGATTTTTTAAGTATAAAATCTTCTACTTACGAGAATATAATTTTTTCGGTGCACGCTCGGTCGAGGGAATTGAAAAGCCGAAAAAACACACTCTGTGTCTCTCTTCTCTCGAAATCTTTTCACCAGAGATACTTGTTTCTGTCATTTTTAATGCGAAGAAGAGAGAAGATAAGATTTTTCAAATTGTTTTCAAATCGACGATCGTAAATATCAAAGTCGGTCAAGTGTTCTTTGAAAAGATCCGTATCTCTTCCACCCGTCTCTCAACACCTTTCTCAAAATTATTCGGCTATTAGAAGTCTTTCACTTCGTGGAAGTTCGTTCGCGGCGGTGCCGCGCCGACACAGACTCACGTTTCGACTTCTTTATCGTCTACGATTTCGGGCTTCGCGGTAGCCGCGCCCCGAAAGGGCGAATGCGCAAAATCTGCACATTCTTCGTCGTCTCTCGTCGCGATCGTCTCCGCGCGGCACCTGTTCCTCCCGCGTGACGACGTCACACGCGACGACGCATCGAAGGACGCATTGATACGACCGTGACCTAACTCGCAGCGACAGAGCGTGGGCTTCCTAATCTAGTTGTGTCTCCGCGCGATACAAGAGGAGGGCCACCATACAACCGATAGGCCCTGTATCTAGCAGACGAGGCACGTAGGTTTACGATAAATTCCGTTCGTTACGTGTTTTTCAAGTATCTAATCGTCACCGCACGCATTTCCTTCCTTTCTCGGCTGACATCAATCAATCGGCCGAATATTGACACGTGCATAAATTTGTGTCGTTCATCACGTGAGTCAACTTCTGTTGCATTCCTCTCTTTTCGGAAATAAGATCCGTCGCGAAACTCTTCGTTTTTTTTTTATTTCGTTTCACTTTATGACGCGCGCAATGTATTCGCGAATATACGCGCGAATAATCGCGGATCGCGGCAGAAATTTATGTCAAATAGACGAAGGGGAGAGAAAAATTTATTATAACTTTAAGACTCGTGAAATTACCAACAAGATATGTATAAGGCCTTACGAGCTATTCTCAAGATGTTTTGAGTAGAAACTTGTACGTGTATATATTGTATATACATACACATGTAACAAATTCAACTTGTAAATTTTTACAAGTGTTAACTAAACTAACTAAAATTTTTTTTCGCAAATTTTAAAATTAGTTAGGGGGGTATTCGGGGTCTGTCATATGTGAGATGCAAATCCGGCATCCCGTATGATTTTAAGAATTGAGTTTTCAACTCAAAAAACACTCACTTGTAAAAATTTACAAGTCGAATTTGTTACATGTGTATGTAAATATATACACGTACAAGTTTCTACTCAAAACATCTTGAGAATGGCTCGTAAGGCCTTGTACATATCTTGTTAAAAAAATTTATACTTGTGAAAATCGCTCGCGAGATGCGATCCGGAGAACGGAAATGTTGTCTCTGTGCAACTTTACAACCGAAGAAAATCGCGATCTCATAAACGAGAGATATTCAACGTCGTGCATGTTCGCCGAAGATATTAAATCTCTGGATGTAAATGTGAAAAAATCACACGTGATGATTTCTCGATTAGAAAAAAAATTTAAAACGGAGAGAAACGGTCACGTTCGCAAAACATGTCGTATATGTATAATAAGAAGAAAAAAATTAAAACGAGATAAACGGTTCGATTGGGACATATGACGTCTTCTCGTCTTCTTTAAAATGCCACCTCAAAATTTTTCTTTGCGATTACATACATTCCGACGAAATTATGCAAGCATCAAGTTCACGACCGAGACGCGATATCGCTTGTTGTTTTATCCGCCGCGTTATTTTTCGTTATCTCGTTTTTCGGCAATAATTAAGTCTCGCTCGGCCGATGAGAAGCTGAAACACACACACACACACAGCGAACGTTGATTCGAGAACGTTTCTGTGTGTTTCTCGATATTATTTATTACAGATACTAATAATATGACGGCGAGATAAAACTCGGTTTTGCCTTCGCCGGAGTTCACGGAAAGGTCGACCGGAGGAGGACTTTTTTTTTTTTTTTATCCGCGGTGACGTGAAAGTTCGCGCCATGCTGAGAAAGCAAATAA